TCCTCCTCCTCCTGCTACTGCTGCTGCTGCTACTGCTACTGCTACTTCTACAGTGCTCCTGCTCTTGCTCCTGCTGCTGCTGCAGCAGCTGCTGCTGCTGCTGCTGCTGCTACTGCTACTGCTGCTGCTGCTGCTACTGCTACTTCTACAGTGCTCCTGCTCCTGCTCCTGCTGCTGCTGCAGCTGCGGCTGCTGTTGCTGCTACTGCTACTGCTACTGCTGCTGCTGCTGCTGCTGCTGCTACTGCTACTGCGACTACGGCTGGGACTACGACTAGGACAACGACAATGGCTACCACCGACTGCCACTGCACCACCACCACCACCACGACCGCCATTACTACGACTACTTCTTCTTCGAATCGCAGACACTCCAGATGTCCAGCGCCCCTATGCAAAAATGTGGTCCCGCCATCCTCTGGACAGCAGACAAGAACGGCACGACACACCGGGTATTTGCAGACTTGCATGTCCTTCATCCGATCGGAAGCTCCGAGCTATGCTTCATGAGTTACTATTGCTCCAGCTACTGCTACTGCTGCTGCTGCTGCTCCTACCTCTCCTGCTGCTGCGTGTCCCCCTCCGGGTCCAGTACTGGTGCTGGAAAGCTAGTGCCGATACTCATACAAGGTTTTCGCCTTATTGGAGCAGTCGTGGTGCGACGGTTAAAGTAGCGGTCATTCCTGTTCTCTTGACACTGAGTCCGCGGTCTTTGTGGCGATTCCACTTGCAGGGTCGAGTAGGAGCCTGGCAGTCATCAGCCTCATCGAGCAAGGATATGGCCCGGCCCACAGTCTCCTTCAAGGCTTGCGACCAGCGAGCTTCAGTAATGTGTACTAGTACATACCTACAATAAAAAATAGCAACACAAATAATATGTATATATATATATGTATACATACATACATACATACATACATACATACATATGCATACTTAAACATAAACATAGACATAAACAAACACATAGACTCAGACATAAACATACACATACACACAAACAGACATACACAGATACAGACATACAGACATACAGACATACAGACATACAGACATAAAGACATACAGACATACATACATACATACATACATACATACACACACACACATACATACATACATACATACATACATACATACATACATACATACACACACGTGTGTGTATGTGTGTGTGTTTGTTTGTTTGTTTGTTTGTTTGTTTTTGTGTTTTTGTGTGTTTGTGTTTTTTGTGTTTTTGTGTTTTTGTGTTTTTGTGTTTTTTTTGTGTTTTGTGCGTCTGTGTGAATGCATATATAATCACAATATATCAATAAGAACAAGATAACAAGAAGCATGAGTCAGTTGCAATAGGAGGAAGGACGAGGACAAGAACAAGAACAGCAATAATAGTACTGAAAATGACAACAATAATGGCAAATAATGATGTTAATGATTTGCAAGATTCATAGAAGCAATAACAAGAGTAACAACAGTATTGTCTATATAATGCCTGGAGTAAAACTCTAGCAGGGCGGATCGCTCACCCAGCCTCTTTGGTGCTCACCCCGGCTTTGCAAAAGGCTTTGACCTCAGGTATCAAAAGACTTCATGTAAACCCAACAGTCAGCACCCTAACCTGAAACCCTAAAAGACCTCTTCCTGGCCGCGACCTACGCTAACAAAGATTTTGTCGCCAGAAGGCCAGGATCGAGCATGTGAACTTGTCCGGCTTGTAGCCATGCTGTCGCATTTCCTTCACGTGAACATGAACCTATGCCAAGCTGACGCCCTCAAGCGATGAGCTGACGTTTGGGCGTCGCCTAAAGCTCCGTTCGGATCGCGCTGGGCGAAGCTTCTCTGAAGTTTCTGAACTTGCTCGTCGGAAACCCGTAAGTAGGTTTTCGGGACCCTCATCCTTGTCTCACAAAGCCACGGGTAGTGATATGCGAAGTGTCAGCTCACAAACCGCAGCCTGCTGTCGGCTCCAAGCTTCTTCGGGCCGCCCCGCACGCACGGCGGCATCCATGATCTGGACATCGCAGGGGGCAAAGGGCCCTCTGAGATTCAGGCGACCAGAACCCAAAGACATACGGCATTTGAGCAGCCGACCGTGTTGAAGCTGATCGCGTTGGGAGAAATCCGACGGGCCTTCATTCTCTGCATCACCTGCACGGATCCAAGGATCGGGAAGGACGAACACGGTTGCTATCGAGGCCTGGTCGTCGCGAACATCGAGTGCAGACATGCTGACAACACGACAGTCACAGGGTCCAGGAAGCCTCGCAAGCTGCGTCGTAGTTGGCCCGTTGCGTAAACGCCTTGATGAGGGTGTTGTAGGACACGACCTTACTTGGAGGCTCCCGAAGCCACTGAAAGCCTCTGAAAATCGGTCTGCATCTCAGTGCCCAACATCTGCAACCGATGGCTTCATCTGCTCTGCCTGTGCAGCTTTGGGGAATACTTCAAGCTTCCGGAATTGTGCAGACCAGCCTCAGTCAGAAGGTCCAAGACTTCGTCCACCTGGCAAGGCCAAAACTCTAAGAACCTCGCAGAGCTGCGACTCATTGCGGCTCCAACCTTGTCTGCAGCAACCCCTGTGGAGAGTGTGACGTTCAACGCGAGGCTGTCAACGGAAACGCCTGAAAAGTAGTCACTTGCGGCCCCTATCTCCTCAGATCTGCCCCCCCCCCCCCCCCNNCGTCTTGAGGGTGACTTCATGCCTCGGCCTGGCCTCGGCTCCTCATGTCCCGGATGGTGGCCAAGGCGCTGGGCCTGGGGCTTCGAGATGCGGCGCCGCTCGTCTTTCGAGGGGGGGCGAATCCTCCGGGCACGCTGCCAGTCTTGTCGCTTGTTGTGAACCCCCAGGATCGTCATGTAGGCGCCTCAGGCAGGGTCCCCGCAATGCAGAGAATTGCACAGACGCACCAGCTGAACTGCTGAACCGCTGGGATCAGGGTGCAGAGTTTCACTGCGAGTAGCATTGGCCATGCATGCAGGGGAGCTCGGAGTCTCGCTGTTGAATTCAAGGACCCCTCCATGGGATTCGACAGACCATGGCCAGTGCTGGTGACTGGCGGAGCCTACGAGCACCAACAGACTTGCAAGTAGTGAAAGAAAGCGGTACTAGTAGGACGCTGCACGGGATCAGGGGCCTTGGGCTGGGACTGAGACGAACCAAACAACCACTTGAAACCCAAACTTAAGCGGCATGGGCATGGCCTGTCTTGACACAGTCTGCCGGTTCTCACAGGATACTTTCTCAGACTTTCAAGCCACTTCGAGTTCTAAGCCTGAATCTGCACGAATTGTTGCTTACTGCAGCCTCTGCAAACACTGCGTGCTTGCAGCTGCCATCTGCCGTCCAAGGCAGAGCGTTTCAGTCTTTACGACGGCATGATGTGGCTCACTGCTCTTTGGGAAAGGTGCAATTGCACCGGCCGCCTCCAGCTTCCGAAATCTTCGGGCCGAGGGTCTTTGCGCACCTCAAGCAACTCCCACTGCCTGTAAGGGCGAACCACCCGCCTTCGATGCCTCTGCCAGCTGCGACGATGCTAGCAGGCTTGCCTAGGCACAGCGACGTCGAGACGAGACGTACAACTGGGATCAAGTGGGGTGTTTGCGCAAGCTAATATACCAGGATTGCTCTTCTACGGCGACGCTCGCGACTGGCAAAACAAGAAGCGAACAAGCCAAAGTCTTTCCTGGTTGATCTAATGCCAGATGAGATATTTGCAAAGGCATCGAAAGAAAGAGGTGGAGCATTCATACCTGAAGCCTGTGCATGCTCCAACTGGGGGTCCCCGAAACCATGGGGACGACACCAGCAGCCGCTTCGCCGAGACGAGGGCCTGCTCCTAAATCGGAGCAACAGTGCTGGCTAAGCACGGCTATGTTGAGGTAACGGAGCGCCCTGGACTTTCGACTCTTGGTGTGCAGTGTAGAGACGTTCTGATTTGCCTGGCTACTTCTATCAGCTTCCTTGCTAGAGCGGTTGTTGCTGCCCCGTTCTGCGAACGCAGCTGGCCGCGGACGTCTCAACTGTGGATGCGCACATCCTGTCTTGCGTGTGCAAGCACGTGCTTCGGCTATGTCTATGACAAGGATTATGACGAGTTAAACGGTGACGATCCACTGACGGTGATAACGAAGACGATGACGACATTGATGATGATGTGAAGATGAGGATGGTGATAAGGATGCTGATGGTGATGGAGCTGGTGATGATGATGATGATGATGACGATGCTGATGGTGGTGCTGGTGATGACGATGATGATGATGATGGTGATGGTGATGGTGACGATGGTGATGGTGATGGTGATGGTGATGATGACGATGATGATGATGATGATGGTGATGGTGGTGGTGATGGTGGTGACGATGATGCTGATGATGCTGACGATGAAGATGAAGATGATTAAGATGATGATGATGATGATGATGATGACATCACCAGCAGCATCACAGGCACCAGCATCATGATGAAGAATGTCTAAATCACAACCGTACTTGTCAACATCACCAGCATAGAATGTCTCCACCGCCACCATCGGCATCTCGGCATCATCATCGTCAACATCATCATCATCATCACCATCATCATCACTATTGTCCATCAGTCAATCAATCAGTCGTTCGATCGATCAATCAACCAAGCGACCAACCAAGCCAGCAAGCAATCATCATCATCCTCATCATCATCATCATCACTAGCACCATAGAGCATCATAATCATAATCATCACCATCATCATCATCACTAGCATCAAAAATCATCATCAGCATCATCATCAT